CCCCAAAACCCCAAAACCCCAAAACCCCAAAACCCCTATTCATTAAATAAAACTTGAAAGATTTATATTTAGCCTGCAAGTGTGGCTAATGCATCTTCTATCTCCTTTAGAACTGTTTCATCTTCGATTGTCGCTGGGACCTTGAAGTGTTTCTTATTGGCAATTGATTTAATGGTACCTCTTAGGATCTTTCCACTCCTGGTCTTTGGTAATCTTGTTACAATAAGTACTCCTCCTAATCTTGCAAAGGCTCCAATATCTTTTCTAACTTTTGCTATGATCTCTTTCTTGAGGTCTTCTGGGTTAAATTCAGCTCCAGTTGCCGGAATAACCAAAGCGACTGGCTGCTCTCCTCTGACTGTGTCCCAGACTCCAATGCATGCGCTCTCCACAATGTGCGGGTGCTCGTTCACAACCTCTTCGAACCTTCCAGTGGAGAGTCTGTGACCGGCAGTGTTGATCACGTCGTCTACTCTGGTCATGATGTGCAAGTAGCCAGCGTCGTTGAAGTAGCCAGCATCTCCAGTGGTGTAGTACCCGGGAGAGTCGCTGAAGTACTTCTCCTTGAATGCTTCGTCGTTACCCCAGAGCGTTAACATGAACGAAGGAGGTAGAGGGAACTTGATTGACACTTTTCCTAACTGAGGAGGATCGACTGGCACATTGTCATCGTCCAGGATCTCGACCACATATCCAGGAACCACTTTGGTGCAGCTTCCTGGGTTGGTGGGGAAGGCATGGAGGTTACCGTAATTGGAGCAAATGGGCCAACCAGTTTCAGTTTGCCACCAGGTGTCATTAAGAAGGACATCTGGGAACTTATCTTCCAGCCAATTAATAGTATCTGGATCTCATCTTTCTCCGACAAGCAAAATGCTCTTGAGTGATGAAGTATCATATTTCTTAATGTATTCTCCGTTATAATCACATTTCTTGATAATCCTGATTGCTGTTGGTGCACAATAGATTGAGTGAGGTTTATACTGCTCTACGATTCTCCAAAAAGCTCCTGGATCCGGAGTCATGACTGGTTTCCCTTCATAGAAAATGGTAGTAGTTCCTCTAATTAATGGTCCATAAACAATGAAACTGTGGCCGACAACCCATCCAACGTCAGATCCTGAGAACCAGGTATCCCCTATCTGAAGGTTGAACACAATGTCCATGATATAGTTCAAAGCTACAGTTGTTCCTCCAGTATCTCTCACAATACCTTTTGGTTGTCCTGTTGTTCCTGAAGTATAAAGGATGTACAGTTCTTGGTTAGCGGGGACTGGAACACAATCTATTCCAGTTTCTGTCTCAGCCATCAGCTCATAGTAATCCAAGTACAGATCCTTGTTGAGCTTGGTCTCAAATACTACATCATGCCTCTGCACTATCAGTCTTCTTAGGTCTGTCAATTTTGAAATCTCAAGAGCTTCATCTACTATTGGTGTATATCTTATGATCTTATTAGGCTCAAGACCACAGGATGCAGTGATGATCATTTTTGGCTTGCAATCATCAATCCTGTTAGACAGTTCTGGAGCAGCGAATCCTCCAAATACAACAGAGTGAATTGCTCCAATTCTAGCACATGCTAGCATTGCAAAGGCTGCTTCAGGGATCATAGGCATATAGATCAAAACTCTATCTCCTTGGGTCACTTCGAAAGTATTAACCAAAATTTTTGCTAGTCTACTGACTCTATCCTGTACTTCGCTGAAAGTAAACTTCTTGGTAGACTTTGTATAGGCTGAGTCCCAGATCAGGGCATCTTGATCACCTCTTCCTTCAACCACATGTCTATCAATAGCGTTGTAACAGATGTTTATCATTCCATCAGGGTACCATTTGAAGAAAGGAGCATTAGAATCATCTAGAATAGTCTCTGGGAACCTATCCCAGTGCACCTTTTCAGCTTGCTTCCTCCAGAAGTCCTCTCTAGTATCATCTCCACTTGCTTCCTTGTACATTTCATCATAGAGTTCACTATGAAATGTTCTATGCTTGTTCATGGTCAAATCTTCCATTGAACTTTTACTTTTAATAAGATTTGAAATTATATCAAGTTTAGGGCTTTAAAATGGGGTTTTGGGGTTTTGGGGTTTTGGGGTTTTGGGG